TGCTGATACACCCACTTGCGCACCTATGCACATTCATATAGACAAACGTACATGCGTGCACATGCAGACAGATCGACAGACAGATATTGCAATTTGTTCTACCGTTCTGCTTGTACCCGTTTGATCCCGTTTGCATTATGACTCAAGTATGGCATGTAGCTTCAGCCCACTTCCTGCACGCAGCCCGAGTCTTCTCCTCCATCCTATTGTAAGCTCATGAGTCCCTCAACGTCTGATGATAGACAGATGCAGCTCCAGATTGCCAGGGCTGCAGCCCGTGATGCCGCTGGTGCTGTGCTGCTGGCCGTGATGCGTGGTCGCTGCGCTGAGGGCGCTGACTTTAAGGAGCCGCCTCCGCTCGAGTCTCCCCTGTGTGTGGAGCATCAAAGTGTTTGCGGGGCCACAGGGGCTACAGTGGCCTGTTACGCCTGCGGTATGATAATGGAGATCCGACTAAACTGCGCAAGCTGCAGGATTTCGGCTCGTGCTCCGTGGTATTTTGTGGAACAAAATGTCACATGGTTCATTCAGATTTACATGGATAGGAACAAGTTTGGCAGAATGTAGGGCAGTGCAAGCCGGAACATTGTCAGGATGAAGCCGCACGAGCAGTTGTGGCACCACGGCAGCAGCGAGTTGTTCGGCTTTGCTGGGGATAATCCGTTTGTGGTTTGAGAGCAATTTGCCAACGACCTTGCAGGTGTGCAAGCGCCCAGGTATGAACGAAGTGAAAGCCAGAATGACGGAAAGGAATGTGCTATATGATGTATGTATATATCCGAACGTCTCGTAGATGTTACCATTTCTCGAGTTGAAGCGTGTATCCAGGTCGTGGGCGTCCCCTTCCCAAGCCTGGAGACCGAAGTGGTGCTCAAAATGGAGTACGAGCGAGAGAACTTGGGTTGCTGTTTAGGAACTTGATTTATACGTTACCATAATGGAGATATATAGTAAAAGAAAAGGGCTTGCTTATTATGGTAAGTTAATTTAAGTTCCTCCGCAGCAACCGAGGAACAAGGATGCCTGGTACCAGGCGGAAGCCTACCGGTCTGCAGCTTGGCGCGTGCATCGAGAAGTTCATTTTGTTTTGGGGTATGGGCGGGGGCTTCAGGCTGAAAGGCGAAATGCTTCCCAGTGTTGGAAGTTGCAAGCCTGTCTTATTCTCGGTGGCCGGGCAGGAGACCTTGAATCAGACAAGACTGTCCTGCCAGTAAAGCTGTAGGTATCACAGGCTGCTGGGCGGCTGCTTCGGCATCAGGCGGCAAAATGGAGGGACCGGGATGCGAATTCACTGCTTCTGCACTTTGGTTGGCCCTGATTCATGTAGTCGCCCGCTGCTTGTCGGAATTTGACCTTGCTACAGACGGGCGGAGAGTGGAGAGCAGGACGGAGCTCCTGCTATTGAAATGATGACACCGCAGAAACCTGTTGTGAACCGCGGCTAGTGAGGCTAGTGTTTCGAGCATTTCTATTACAAGAGCTGTCCTTTGACCGGTCTGACGGCCTGTGCAGCAACCAGGCCGACTACGGTAGCTTGCTCCTCCTGGACAGCCGCTTCGCAGCAGAAGGCCTCTTGGAAAAAGTTGTGGTTGCAACTTGTTGCATTTTTCCTGGAATCTACTGCACCTGCACGGTTTCTGTTCAGAAGAAGTTGGCTCAAGGTTCCAGAAGACTTGTGGGGATTCACCATTAAGACCAGACCCCAGAATAACGTATGTATAAAATGTGTGTGTATGTATGTATGTATATATATATATGTATTTAGTATACGGTGAAGTATAATGTAGAACATGTAATTTCTCCTTGTTCCCGCCCGGCAGAGACCAGGCCCTCCCGTGCAGCTCTCGGGTTGGCTGCAGCACCTTGGATACGAAGCCGCTTTTGCCTGTGAGAAAGTTTTGTAGGGGAGTAATATAGGCGCCTGAGCAATTACCAAGATTCTTGATTATAGGGCTACGTATAAAGGTATACTTTAAATAATAAGCACCAGCACCTCTATTCCAACTGCTAAGGCCCCTATAGTGGACGAAAGCGGTTGTGTCTGTGGCGTCGTGGATGAAAGTGCGATGATGCTTCGACGATCGAACAGTCGCAGACCGTACTTCAAGTTCGAACCCTAAACCTTAAGCAAAACCAAGACCTCAGTTGCTTGTGCGAGTTGTGAGAGCGTAAACAAGGGAGTCAACCCAACTTTATAAAGGAAGACAGATAGAAACCCTGTTCCAACGGAACATACTGCTCTAGGCTTCATTCTAGGACTCTAGAACCCGGAAGTGAACACTCTAAACCCTTGTTTGGTTTGTTAAAGTCCTACCAAGGACTGGTCACGAAAACCGTAAACCCTTGTGCGAATTGTCAGAGTCGCAGCCCTAACTTATAATAGTAACTTACACGAAGCAACACACCCTAAACCCTTATAGGTGCCGAGAACCAAAAAAACCCAACCTCTTCAGTCCGAGAGCATCCCGGCCCAGGCGCGAACTTCGGAACCAGCGGCCTGTGGGCCGCGGCACGCGCGGAGAAGTGACCAGCCGATCGCTGGAGGCCTCTCAGACAGCAGCGTACTTGTCGGAATATAAGTCGTTTGCAATACAATATACTATAATAGGCTTCCCGAATTATTGTCCTTAATTACACAGTGCCGTTATGTGAAAAGATAGTGGCTTTGTGCGTGTATACACTGAAGCATGACGGGCGGAGAGGAGGTGAAAGTGAGACGGAGCGAGAGAGCATGTTAGCAGGTTTGGCGTCACGGCAGGTTCGGTCTGTATTGTTGTGGTTTTGATGATGCTTGGACCTTTGAATTGCTGTAAGATCCGAAGCTGCGTAGAGATACTCTAAATATCTTGTGGTGTTGGCGTGCATCATGGTGGCGGATATCCAACGCGGATTACACGCGCTGTGCTGCAGGATGTGTCGGAAGACTTGAGCACATTCTTCCTGCGGAATGAGTCGGCGGTGGAGCTGAAGAAAAGCTCCATGTGTTTGCCACCCACGGAGCACTGCTCGCCCTACTCGTATCATGACCCGATAAGCAAGGAAATCTGGATGCTAGTGCACTGCAGCCGATGATTGATGGCTGCCAGCATCCGAACAGAGACAGATGCCCATAAAGGCACCATTGCCGTGGCATGACCAACCGTGCTGAAGCCATGCTTCCCATATCCTGCACAGTCTAGACTTGGAACAATCAGCAGAACACACGATCGAGTAGCGTTCTCTGAGCCAGCACATCGAGCAGCTCATCGAGCGGATCAGGAAGCAATGCTGCGTCTTACCGATAGAACCACGGGGTTCTGCCGTGTCGTTTGCCGGTGGTGACATTTGGCTCACCGTTTGCTCAGGAAGAAGGGACGTAGCTTGACTCACTGAGGGACCGATGCCATGGTCGTCCTGGTCAAGCCCGCAGAACTTGCACTGTTGTCCGCCTTGGTCGCGGCGCGCTTGCTAGGCGCGAATGGAGTGGCCTGCAGGCACTTGTCAGTGCGGTGTGCAGACCCCAGGTGTCCCAGGTTGTTCTGGCCCCGCTTTTCACGGGCGGCAGTGGATTTCAACCCATGGCCAATGGCAGTATTACACAGTCCCGGATTGACCAACATTGCTCTTGCGGTTGCATTTCCCTCGGGCCAGCACTGGCCCACTCCTTCATGTAAGTATGCCATAGAAACGTAGAAAGGTTTGTCCAATATCGCCAATATCATCATCGAGCAAGCACTCATGTGCATGCATCGCCTCAGCCGAGGTCGCATTTCCCTCTTACCAGGACATGTCTGGCCTTTGCAGCTGTGTGGCTTTCATGGTTGCGTGTCCATTTCCGGAACTGGCTTTTGCATTCCACTAGCTTTGTGGACCTTCATTTCCTATCCTTCACGATGAGCATGCAGCAAGACATGCTCTTGGCAGTTGCTCTTAGAATAGATGCCTGATCTCTCGAAGTCCCGCAGAAGTCAAACCTTCCCTGGTCCTAGCAGTCAAAGTAGTCCTCCAGGGTTATCTGGCCTGGAGGACCCACAAACTGCAGAGCCATCACTACCACATCCGAAAGGATCGGCCAGGGGGTCTTGGATTTTCCGGGACAGACCGCTGTTTGCAGCCATTCCGCCGGGTGAGGGTTTCCTAGACTATGCGCAGATCAGATCAAGGCATAAGGTTACCTGCGCAGCATACAAATCCTCCACATGAACTACTAACGGAGCCCTGCACTCCACCTGAAGCGAACCCCCCCACGTTTGATCCCGAAGTCCTTTTGCAACAAAGCCTCCTTTGCTTAGTCCATCAGAAGCAGTCTCTTCACAGAGTTTTCAATGGCCGCCCAACCCCAACATCTGAGTTCACACAGAGGCGCCTCGGCCCCCTGCGCTGTGCGCCCGGCTGTGCTGGGAGCGAACCTCTCCGGTGTTTCGGCGGGTTTAGGGTTTAGGGATCATGTTGTGCAGGGATCATGTTTGAGTTTCGGGTTGTCTCGGGTTTCGGCTTCCCTTCGTGGCCGTACTGCAGCTAAAGGAAGTGCCTTCCACTGCGGGCATTGCATCCGAGTGTGGCACGAAGGACATGCATGTGCAAGCTTTTTCTGCTCGTTCCAAGCGAAGCCATAAAGTTGCATTGAAAAGTCGGCCCGGCAGTTTGACGAAGACCGGCATGGCGTGGTGCAGTGTATGTGGCCTAGAGTCTAGAACTTGATATTCAGGGTAAGCCGCATCTGCACATGATGAAGCTCAGGCTACGGATTCTTGTCGGCACAGAAGACGAGCATAGGAGGCCAAGCGGTTTGTCAACCGGAGCTCGCTCGTTTGCACCTGTGAATGTCCTACCGGCCAGGTGCACTCATGACTCATGCCTGACCACTTGTCGGAATGATTGGCATTCGGAACCACATGCATGCGGTACAAACCGATTCCAAGCAAGCTTGTCCCTGTGCTTCAACTTCAAATCGTCATAATCTTCACAGCCGTGAGCGGCATGCAATGCCGTGTCTCATTGCACGAATTCGACACCCCGAGGACAAGTTGTTCGGTCTTGGTTCGAGCCTCCAGACGATGAGACTGCTTGCTCCTGCAGCTGCTGGGCAGAGCTTGCGGCGCGTTGTTCCTCCCAAATTCGACAGTTGGGATGGTAGTCCACTTGCAGCTATAACTGCCTACAGCCCAAAACCTGGATAGATTCTTGACAGCCGTCGCATTTGTAAACGCAAAGCTCGACACGAATATTCGCGGATGCCTGCCTTTTTCCAAGGTCGGCGCAGCATTTCAGAGTCCTGCTGGTCGCAGGTGGTCTTGATGTCAGAGTCTCAGAGCCGGGTCGCCCAGCACCTTGAAGCTCCGTTGGTAGAGCAAGAAGTCAGTAAGGTCGGTGCTTCTCGCGTAAGGCCCGTCACCCCAGCCTGTCTCAGCCTTCCTCTATAGTAGTCCCAGCAGCATTAAGGACACCCAAGAAGGTGCCAAACGCAGTGTTGCGACCCAGTAGCCAGTATGCACTCTTGGAGTTGGGGTGCCGAGGTTCGACGGACATGTGAGAGGAGTACAGTTCGATCGCTTCGGCGCGGTGTGGTTTCGCGGCGTTGTGCCCGGTCTTGCACGCGAGCAAAGGGACTTTCGTAATCAGCATGCTTCTAGACTCCATCCATCCAACCTTGGCCCAATGGAGAGAGAGAGGAAAATGAAGACAGCTCCGCTGGGGAATGTTATAGGGGCTGTTAGCCAACAGAGCGGGTCCTCCTGGTTCAATTAGCGAACTTCGCTCCCGTTTGGAAACGGAGGCGGGCTGTGGGGGACAATCTTGAGCACCACGCCAGTCGCCAGTCGATACTTATGCCACTTTGAGTTCTGTGACATTCGAGGAGCTCCTCCGAACGACCACTCCGGAGCCGTCTCCTTCAGGTATCGAGTGGCATGTGGAGCGGGATATAACCGACTTTCAGATCCCTGGCTGGAGTTTTACAGTCAGCGGTTCCGTTCTTCACTGTTTTCTGGGCTTTGCGTTTCGAGGAAACCGGGGCGTGACACTGATATGCCTTTGTTCGGTGCATCGGACGACTCAGGAGCCTCTTTCGCAGCGCTGGAGAGATGACTCTGACTCTGGGCACTGCAGCTGTGCATGTTGACCTGATGTGTCGTTACTGCGGCGAAATGTCCATCGAAGAAACCGGGAGTGTGGCAAAATCTATCGATTAGCACCTTTAATTTGAGATTCCCCCTTCGTCCTACTCAGCAATCAAGCTACAGTGTCGGGGAGCTCCCAAACGGCTTTAAGCATCCCAGGATGATTCCGAACGTCGTGGATCCGACTTACACTGGTGTGCTGCTGGTCGCATCGATTCCTTCTCTGACGTTTCTGCATTCCACTAGGTTGCTTCTGCATGTGCGTGTGTGTGTGTGTGCAAATCCTGTACCGAAGGACATAAGCAGCATTGATGCAAAAGCAAGGGCTAGACCCCGATGACTTCAATGCTTAAGGACAGCAGGGGGGCAGCGCATGCCTGACAGCCACTGCCCAACGAAGACACTGTCAATAAATGGTGATATCTGGCCTGCTCAGCCAGACGTACCTGCTGTCGGACTAGCCAGCGGGCCCTATGGCCCTGGAGTAATCAAGAACTAGCACAAACAGCATCCATCTAAGCAAGGATGACTGGTCTGCAAGTGTGTTAGCGTGTGAGTGTGCGTACGCGTGCGCGTGTGCGTGTGCGCGCGTGTGAGTGCGCGCGAGTGTCCGTGTGCATGTGTGTGTGCGGGTGCATGCGGGTGCGGGTGCATGTGCGGGTGCGTATTATGAGGGTATGGGCGTGTGGGCGTGCGGGCGTGTGGGCATGTGGGCGTGTGTGTCGGCGTATGTGTCGTCGTGTGTGTCGGTGTGCGCATGCGTGCGTCTCTCTGTCTGTGTGTGTGTGTGTGTGTCTCTGTGCGTGTGTGTCTCTGTGTCTGCCTGTGTGTGTCTGTATGTGTCTCTGTGTGTGTGTGTGTCTTCCTGTGTGTCTCTGTGTGTGTCTCTGTGGGCGTCTCTGCGTGTGTTCTCTCTGTGTCTCTCTGTGTCTCTCTGTGTGCGTCTCTGTGTCTCTGCGTGTGTCTCTCTCTGTGTCTCTCTGTGTGTGTCTGTGTGTGTCTGTGTGTGTCTGTCTGTGTGTGTGTGTGTGTCTGTGTGTCTCTGTGTGTGTCTGTGTCTCTGCGTCTGTGTGGTTGTCTGTGTCTGTGTCTGTGTCTGTGTCTGTGTCTGTGTCTGTGTCTGTGTCTGTGTCTGTGTCTGTGTCTGTGTCTGTGTCTGTGTCTGTCTGTGTCTGTGTGTTTGTGTCTGTGTCTGTGTCTGTGTCTGCGTGTGTCTGCGTGTCTGTGCTCTCCATGTAGCCCATGCCAACCTACATCCATATTCGTCAAATGTTCGGGCACTTTGCAAACCGGGCTATGTGAACACAACATGATACGGACATAGGTTGTCGTCAAAGCCCAACATAATGTGAGCATACAACCGACTGCAGAGTCGAAGCGTATGTGCTTTCGAGCATGCCGCCGACAGACTTGCGGCAACCCTGGAACATTGATATTTTCGAACATCTTCATGCAGCAGCAAATAAACACATCTAACATACACGCATACAAGCCAGACAGGCATACCAACATACAGGCATATAGACCTAAACATAGACATGCAGACATACACGCACGCAGACATACGCACAGATAGACATTGGAAAGACATGCATGCATACATACATACATACATACATGCATGCATGCATGCATACATACATACATACATACATGCATACATACATACACACATACCTACATACCTACCTACCTACCTACCTACCTACCTACCTACCTACCTACCTACCTACCTACCTGCCTACCTGCCTACCTGTCTACCTGCCTACCTGCCTACCTGCCTACCTGCCTACCTGCCTACCTGCCTACATACATACATACATACATACATCCATACATCCATTCATATTTACTTACTTACTTACCTACTTACTTACTTACTTACTTACTTACTTACTTACTTACTTACTTACTTACTTACTTACTTACGTACCTGCTTACTTACTTACTTACTTACTTACTTACTTACTTACTTACATGCTTACCTACACAAATAAATACAAACATACATGCACACATGCTCTCGCAATCGCACTCAGGCGAGGTTTGGGCAGGACAACGAAGCACAGGTGGATTCATCTCCATACATACAAACATGCATACATACATACGTACGTAATGACACACATACCCATGTACAGGCATGTATGCGTGCATACATGCATAGATCCACATACATCTACATGCATGCATGCATACATGCATACTTGCGTAATACATGCATTACTTTGCACCACATGGCTGTACATGGTAATAATTAGGTAATACATTTTTAGCACTCGCGCTCGACGGATCAGGCGACGAACATGGTCGACCAGTGCATACATGATCTATTAATATTAGGAACTACACACATACACACATACATACATACATACATACATACATACATACACACACATACACACACACATACATACATACATACATACATAAACATGCGTTAGAGCATATGTATATTCATACCTACATTGACATTGACCTACATACCTACATACAGACATACATCCATGCATGCATACATGCATGATGCATTACATGCAAACAGCACATACCTGCACAAATACATGCATACATACGCCACGTGTACAAATACGTACATCTATCCGTGCATGCACAAAAACATCACATACGCACAAGGGTACACATGTGCATACACATACATACATGCAGACGGACATACACACATGCATACTTTACCAGCATGCTTACATGCATACATACATCATGTTCGCACGTGCGAACACGCATGCCTACATACATATTTTATATATATATATATACATACATGCATTTACTACGTTGCACACAAGCACACAGCTACATGCATCCATACATGCTAAGGTGTATACATGCATGCATCCACGCCTACATGCATGTGTATAGATATATATATATATATGTATGTATGTATGTATGTATGTATGTATGTATGTATGTATGTATGTATGTATGATATATAGAAACATAACATGTGCGATCATGCACAAGCGTGCATATTCAGGCTATAGATAGATAGATAGATAGATAGATTAGATAGATAGATGGATAGATAGATAGATAGATAGGTGACATTTTGATAGATGGACAAAAGATAGATAGATGGAGCCATAGATAGATGGGTAGATAGATAGATAGATAAATAGATAGTTAGATAGTCATAGCGCCACATAGCACGACCATGCCTCCACCAGCTCGCCTTCTGTCAGGTCCTGTTTGAGGAAGGCTCTCCGGTAGGAACTTGAATTCATCGACACTTTGCTGCGCTTGCGGCTTCTGCACATGCAGAGACTTAGAAGGTTCAGGGTTGAGGTGTGTTGACTTCTATTTGCGTCTAGCTACGGTATGGGCCAACGAAGGAATGGGTTTGCATGCACAGTGCGGGGTTCACGGCTCTTCGATTCCGCCATCTGACAGGGGTGCCGAAGAAAGACCCACTTTGGAAAGAGATTCTCCTGCCAAGTCCCTAAGTCCCTTTCGACACCGCCTGAGCGTGCAAGGTCGCTAATCGGAGTTAATCACAGACGAACGACACGATCGTAATAGTATGCCACTCTACTCCGACTGTTCGTCCGTGTTGGGAAAATTGGGGAACTCCTTTATCCCAGCAGGCAGATTTATCGAGGCGCGGCCGTGAAACATGCAAGCAACTGTTGCCCTGCTGCCTGGATGCCGCCGTACAACTCCGGGTCCCGGGCGCCACCTGTAGCAGAGCGGGAAGAAAGAGAAAAGCGCATGTCAACCTACCACCGAGACCCGTACTAGACGATACATTGACGGGACCAGCGCGCGCGCGCCAAGATCGGCACGCAGACCCCTACCCGAGCACACAGACAGACGGACCGGGGTGAGACTTCGATCTTTCGACTCTTACTGACACTTCGCCGCGATGGAAGCCTCTGCGTGCTTGAGTCTGTTCTACGAGTACGTTCACCACATGCTTGGGCAGCGGGCCTATCCTGGACACACAACACCAGAAGCCCTAACGCAGAGATTCGCCACCATGCTTTGCGAAATCTCAATCACACGAAGGCAAATTCATTCCTGGAGGGACAATGCTCAGGTTTTGCAACATGCATCTCCAGACATGTTGAACCCCGATACTCAGACCGAGTGTCATCGGCAGAGTCAGTAAAAAATTCTCCCCCTAAACCCTAAACCTCCAGCCTATGTAGTGGAGCAGCATGATTTTGTCATCGTCAGGCATTCGGTTCCTGGGAAGGATGTCCAAGAGGCCCCGAACCCACGATCGCCTGAACAAAAAGCGGCTTTCATTGATGCCTTAATAGCTTAGAACAGGGTTTCGATCATTCCTATTCCTCCTCCTGATACATGAATCACGCATTTCAGCACTACGATTGCCTTGTCCCGACGACCATCAGGGTATTGACGAAAGGGCAAAAATGAACCGCTGCCGAGAGACGGAAAGAGAGACGAGGAGTAGATCGTCCCTCGGATGTGCAGCATTGGGCAGCATCAGGAGCTGTCGGAGATGGCATCCGTTTGACCCTTTGACCCCGATCTACAGAAATCGTCTCGACAGGTAAGTTGCACCTTGCCAAGAAGCCAAGGGTTCGAATGCCCTGTGTTCGCGGGTGCAGCTGGCCGAAACCATTCACGATGCCCTTACCTCGGCCAATCTGTGCAAGTTTGGAGGCTTCAACTTTTAGCCTTGACACAGGTCAAGTTCATAGGATCCTCACAGGCCAAAAGGCAGGTCGTGCGGTGCCAGCAAGGTTCTAGTTACTGTTATTTTCTGCCACTCTTTTTACCCCAGCCAAAACTCGAGGCCTCATTTCTGTTGTTCGGACCGCTCTTGACTAGCCCCTTGTTGCTGTTGTTGCTGCCCTGGCTGATGCTGCTGTTTATGACTGTTGCACTCTGCACTGTCATCCTCCATGCGATGAGTACGGTGACTACGTCTTTTTTGGCAAGAGTGAGCAGGTCTTCCGGGATCTTGAAAGCCGAAGCAGCCATGCGCAGGCTCGCGGAAGGCACCTAG